AATCAACCTTGTCCTCTGAGAGACCAAGGCAATATTAACTTCTACTATCTATATGTAATCACTGAACGTGGAATATAGTATATCATATTGTCACTTTATTTACTTCATTGACAGTCATGGATTTTTTATTCGATAAAATTCTAACATTCTCTATGAAATAGGTCAAGATATATTAAACTAAAATTATTTAACATTATTCGAACCGTTCTATTTTTAGAATTACACATATTACTTACAACATATCAGTAGTAACAAAAATGCATTCCAATAGTTGAAATCATGAGTCAATTGAAACCGTGACCAGTGGAGTTCAACCAGGTCTGTTGTGAAATATCAGCTGACTGAAGACAATGGAGTACGATGGCGCAATTTTTTGGATTAGTTGAAGTTAAAAAAATTTAGCACCGTCGGATGCCTGCCAGCTCAGTGGTCTAGTGGTTAAGCTCTCGCGCTCGAAACTGATAGTTTCTGGGTTCGAATCTCGCGGAGGGGGTTGGCGGGATCGTGGATCGGCAATGCTGAGGAGTCCCATACTAGGACAAAACGGCTGTCCAGTGCTTCTAAGTCTCCCATGGTGGTCTGGCTTCAATTGACTCATGATCTCAACAAATGAAATTACTACAATCTCCATAAAACCCCTTCTGATACTAAACAACATATGCTCACTAGTGACTGGCTTCAAGATATATATCCTGGAGTTCTGGGGACAAGTAGTGACCAGTGGAGTTCAACCGGGTCAGTTGTGAGGTAGTAACTCACTGATGACAATGGTGGATGTGTCGCTCAATGTCGTGGATTAGTTGAAGTTAGACATGAACACCATTGGATTCCGACTCAGTGGTCTAGTTGGTTCAGAGCATGGCGCGAGACTGATAGTTCTTGGGTTCGAATCTCGCGGGTTGGGCGGGATCGGGGATGCGCACTGCTTAGGAGTCCCATAATAAAACAGAACGTCTGTCCAATGCTTCCAAATTTCTCATGGTGGTCTAGCTTCAATTGACTCATGATCTCAATCAATGAAATTACTAAACTCTCCATAAAATCCCTTCTGATAAAAATACATTTATTTATTATTTTTTTTTACATTTCCATAGGAATTATTCATATTAATCGGTGGATTAGACAGAAAACAATATTTTCAACTATCTTATGTTTTTCAACCAATTATCAAACTAAATAGTGATAAAGTAACAACCATAATTAATAGGGATCTATCTTCAATGGATTCTTATCATAAACCATTCGGACATATTGAAATGAAAGATTTAATGGTCTTCTTTCATGCTGCTAATCTATCACAAATTCATGTACAACAATTAATTACATATTTAGATAATAAAAACAATGGTACCATTGATTTTATTACATTTTTAGAATACCTTCCTTTATTTGTTGAATCACATCAACACATTATATATAATCCATGTTTAAACACAAATATATTCAATACATAAAAGTAGTTGTGTTTAAATAATAATAATAATGATGATGATGAAAAGTTTAATGAAGACTTGTGTGAGTTTAGTTGTCATTGATGGATTGTAGTTAGAGTACCATTGGAAACTATGGGATATCAGATATATGTTTCACTTAATATATATAATAACTTTCAGCAGTGAGCATTAATGATCCATCCAACGATCGAATACAGAATATTTCATATTTCCTGTTGTGGAGCCCTTCGTTTTCTCGTCATTTAGATCGGACGATGTTAACGAAAGGGCTCTCTACAAAAAGTGGCCCATTGATCTGACTCCAATTAGATCGTAATGAATGTTTGTTATCGCCTATCCACGTATATAATTATCGACTTAAATCGAGTTAGTCAATAACGGAATTAAATAAGTCAAATAAAGAGAATGGACTTTTGAATATATATATTTTGTATATAAAATGAATGGAGTAGAGAGAAGATAAACAACGCAGAGTGGAGATGGCGAGTAAGCCAACTCCTATTTAACCAAACATTAATCAATATTTATAGTTATACAAAAATAAGTTACAGACATATGATGAGTAATGGGATAAGAAGTGTGCACACACCTACGTGCTCATATCAAAACGGTCAAGATTGATAAGCGAATAATTAACAAGTAGAATGAATAGACTGGGCTGTCCGAAAGCTAGAATAAGGTATATGGGCTTAACACCATAACCGACACTACACTGCGTTCAACCTGACATTTAGATTGCCCTGGGGGTTACTAGAGTGCTTATCAAACGGAATCTAACATTCGAATAAAAGATTCATCAATGGTATGTTTAGTTTACAGAAATTTACAACACTGTTTGAATAAAATTTCAGATGGTATAAGCCGAAGAGCTAAGCTTTTTTATCCGAAACAACCAATCCTAATGAGTAGATATTAAATATCATAAAAGTGATAAATCTTCTTCTACTTTATAGCTCGTATGTGATTCTAAATAGACCTGACCAACTGAGATAACATATGATTATTACGTCATTCATATATTCTTAATAGTTATATCTGTGGTGTGCGCTACTTATATTGACATAAGTAGTATATGATATTAGTCGTGAACAGAAGGTCTGACAGCAAAGAGACAAGATGATCGAACAGTAAAGAATGGAAACAAGATGCAATTTGTATGGAAATGCAAGAATAATGAAGTCTGAGTCATTTTGAGACAATTGGTGGACATTTTGAAAATTAGGCATTTACTTTATGATTGTTAGATTTTATTAACAAGTCCTGTAATTTTGTGTTAAATACATTCGATTGTCCCCATCCGAGTTCTGTTCACTACATGTCTTCTTTAGAGACAGCTGTGACCTTCAGTGCATTAAGTTGATTAAGTTTGTACTCATAAATCTTATATATGTTGTGTAATACACAGTTTTATCAAACTTTAATAATATTCTACCAATAACAAACAAGCTTGATTTGTATCACGTACAGTAGCTATCATTCAAGGTCTAAAGAACGTCCGTCTTTATTGATTTGTTCTATCGGTGTCTTGATGCCATGGAAAACGGTGCGTAGTTTTGAAAGTGTTTTTCGCACAATGTATTTAATAATGATTAACTTTAGCTTATCTTTACTTCTTTGAATAAGTTATAAGTTTTAGTCTTTCAATCATTCCAAGTTCTTGGAGTGCTAAGTGAAATTTGTAGAAAAAGATTTAAAGCAAAACATCGATTGCTATTAATGATCTACCTTAAAAACTTATGCAGTCTGAAATCATCTGTGCAGGGATAGATGGACTGCATATTATATCAACTTCCATTTCAATTCTCAAGTTTCAGATTACATCCTAGATCCAAGCCTTCACGTGGAAACAATACTTCTGAACTAAGGATACACTGATTAAGATATAGTCTGGTAGCACTGCTTGTGAAATCCTTGTTTTATGGCTATGTTACTTGTTAGTAATCAGGGTTATCCCGTTTTAGGGCTCGCATTGGTTAACTTGATTATCAACAAGCTGAATATACTCTTATTGGTTAAAACAATTTTACATAAACAGCCATACTGAATTCATTATTGTTACGTTTGACTGTCGTTGTTGTTGTTGCTGTATTGTCACCTTGAATGTACGCTTAAATCCAACTACTTATGATTTATCATAGAACCATATATATTATTAATACATGCTAATATACAAATATTTCCGAATAATCAAGACAGTCTTGTGACTTGAACAGACCTCGAGTGCATTATTTAAAATGAATCCAACCGTAATTCTTCTGAGTTAGACGAGTTGTTTCAAATATCTTCAACGAAGTTACCCAAATCCAAACGAAGAATAAAGAGTGGATGGTTGACGAGACGAATATATTTGATTATAGGTAACGATACTGCAACGTGAGATTTTATCAATGGGGCTAGTTAAAGTGTTAGAAAAGTCTCACCATAAGTCAAGACGTTATATGATGAAGGTAATTGATCAGGTATCTTTATCCATTACGGTCAATCATAACTAAATAGGCTCAACAAAACTGCTTATTTTAAGGAGTCATTTATCACTACACATTCATCTGTTATGTGGCCAAAGAATTCTTATTTATCTTATGTACACTTAAGTTTCAACTTCCAACAGTTTTTATAAAATGTACTTATTCACCAAAAATAGTTTCCCATTCGCCTCGAAAATGCTTTCTAAACACCAATGGATAAACGTTTCTAATCCTCACCCTCATTTTAGTAGATAGTTTAAAATAGAATATCTAAGAAGTTACATCCATATCTGTTATGTCCTTGATCTCTCTACCCACTTTTGGTGCTGAGGCTAACCTGTCTAATCTAGATTAAGACCTTGACGTGATAGGCTGATCGGCTTAACATGGAGAGTAGTATGCGTGAGTTCGAAGTGGGGTAGAGAGAAGAAAACTGTTCTATCACCTGACAACCACGCGAGTAAGAGAAGACAAGTCAACTGGAACACTACTCGATTTATTCCCAATTCCGACTTGGTTCCCTATTTCCCGATTTCAGATCAGTGTAAAAAGATACATGAATAAATAGATGACCACAGCATACAATAATTAGGAAAATACAATTATGTCCGAAACTGGGGGTTAGTGTAGAAAATAGGGTACAAAATACTATGTTTAAATTACAATAGCTTTGTAACAAAAAGAGCTATGACAATGAATCATACATCAAACGAAAGCTTATTTTATGTAGAATAGACTAAGGACAAAACTAAATGTTATTGTTTTACGAGCTTTGAATTAAATGAAATAACGTCCCTCCCCCCCCCCAAAAAAATAGTTTCCGTAGTTTGTCAAAGCATTTTGTTTCTCTGTTCACATCAATATCAAACGAATATAGAATAATATCTCATATAATTTTGGATGTCTAATAATCTCTATAGAGTGATAAAATTCATTAGTGGTAGCTTGAAAACGTTCTCATCATTACCATTGGAAATTCATACTGTTATTGTTTTGTATTTTTTTGTTTTTATAAAATAAAATGATTTTTATTAGTAACATAATTAACTTAGCAACAAACTAAAGATAATTATGTTCACTTTTATTGATTTTCTATGAATTCCATTCCAGGTAAAATATACTTCATAAATAATTGATTATATTGTTGAATTTTGTCACCTGAAAGTTTGTCTAAACAAAAGGTCTAAAAGATGAAAAATCTGTATTCAATAATTTATTTTTATGAATAAAAAAATATTATCAGAAGGGGTTTTGTGGAGATTTTAGTAATTTCAATGGTTTAAATCATGAGTCAATTGGAGCTAGACCACCATGAGAAACCTGGAAGCACTGGATGGTGGTTTGGTCCTAGTCTTGGACTCCTCAGCAGTGCGCAACCACGATAGACATGTTAGACATTAACACCGTTGGATGCCGGCTCGGTGGTTTAATCGTTAAGCTCTCGCGCGCGAGAATGGTAGGTCCTTGGTTCGAATGTTGCGGGGGGAGGAGTGGTGGATGCGCACTGTTGAAGAGTCTCACACTAGGATAAAAATATTATAAGATATGAATATGATTATTTGAATAAGTCAACTGTAGTGAATTATTAAAGGATATATGAATGACTAAATTCACAGCAGATAGATGACTATCTATCATATTGAGTGATAATTAATAAGGATGTGTAGAAATTAGTCCCTCATGAATCTTGAAACTAATTATAGTAAAGATAAGCCATCAATCATTCATATGACGTAATGAACGTTATCTGTCTAGTGAAATATTCAAAGGTACACAAAATGAAACTACTACGAACACAATACTGAATAATTTATATATACAGAGAGAGAGAGAGACTGATTAATTGCAGACCCAAACATTAGTGGGATGATTAAATCAAAAAAATACAAAATGAATTAAAACTTCACCTAATTGCATAAGATAATGGGTATCAGGACTAAGTAGCTAAGTGGATAACGTGATGACGTTTGAAGCGAGTCGAGGTGTGAACATGAACTCTGAGATGCAGGCACATCTAGCTGACGAGTCCAAAATAGGGTGAATTGCGCGTCCTGGATTCCAGTGCTAACTATCAACCGTATTTGCTTATAATGGTTGTGACCTAGTTTACAATCCTAGTTTTCTTAATTTGTTTTGACCAGTTCAAAGTGTTTATGTCAAAACTATACTGAGTATAATTTGACCTCGACTGTAAAATTACTAAGAAATAAGGAAAACACTGAATAGCTGTTTTGTAGCGGCTGTGCTTCGTCGATCAATCACCCTCTTAACCGTTACCATATAATCGTCAACGGTGTTTAGAATCAGAAGGCAAAGAGAAGCAGCGACTACAGTTTTATTAGCAGATAACTTAGACCACAAAGCCGGGAGGCAAATGAGTAAGTCAGCGAACTGAGAGTTAGTAGAGTGTTAAATGTACATGTATATATATATATATATATAGGGAAATGAATGGGTCATCGAATCAATTAAGCAGCTAATAATAAAGCTAGCAGAATGAATATATGCGTAGGCGGTAAGCAATGTTCAAGCATACATATTTCATACAAACATAACAATAATAAAGGTACAATAAGTTGTTATAGTAAGGATGACTTTGTCCTCTAAATAAGTTAACAAAAAGGCTTAACTGAGTTAAATGAGAACAAACTTCATTGCACGTGAGTCGCTATAATTTTATCCAAGTTTGAAACTCCTTAATAGTATCCGCTCAAAACTTTACACATCATCTGGTCGATACATCGTTAGAACTTGTTACAAGGATGATACGTTGAAGCATCTGAATTAAAATTTAATACTTCAAATCTTTTTTTAAATCTTCAGTCAAGTTACAATCAAACACTATCTTCATATAACTTCATCGATGAGTTATTGTTGTTTGATTACATAACGTTTTCTTCTTTTCTTCATCTTGGAGAAAAAAGTTCCACTGTTTAGGCATTTGAATCGCTATCCAGCTCAGAGAACAAAACCCCATGAAACAATTTGTTTAATCTCTTTGGTAAAACTTACTAGTATTGTGTAATACATGTGTCGAACATGCGAATTAATTTTGTTATTCTGTTTCTTGATAATGTCTGTTTATAGAAAAAAAGTATAAAAAGACAACTTGATAATATTTCTCAGCTAAGTTTGCATGCAAACAACAATGAGATTAAAGATATGTGTTGCGTATTATTTAGGACTCCTCAGTTGAATGTAACTGGATTATGCTGTTGATATTCACAAGGAGACTTGAAGTTATTGTCTCTCTATTCGAATGTCCAATGTGTTTTCCATTAAGCGAATAAGTCCACATAGTCATTATTTTGTTCAACCGAGATGAATTTTAAATAATTTGTAAAAGTTTGAATTATTCCGTTATTGGTGCTAAGGTCTCCACTTGATCAGTCTTTTTTCAGCACATATGCATCCTGAGGGGATTGTCTTCATTTGAACGTTAAGTCGAAAGCACTTTTAAGCAAAGTTGAATTGTGGTTAGCTTGTAACTTAATGGTGATGTGACTACATTCCGTTTACAATCCACATGCGCCAAAACAAGTGATCAATTGAAGCTTCTAACATTAAGAAATATAAGATTCCTACCTTTACAAATTACACTAATATATAAAAGTCATTAAAAGCTTCTGCGAAAACTGCTGACTTTGGATGACTCATTACTATTAGTGAAATTTGTCTTATGGTTGGTAGAGTCAAACTCCAGTTACTGTAGATTCTCCTAAAAACTCGTCCATCTTATAAGTAAATCCATATTTCACAACCTACAATCAATTGGACACTGAGCAGTTGTGATAAACGTTATGTTTATCTTATCACTTTAGCTTCAATTGACTTATATCGAGTAAGTTACTAGTGTAGATGACTAACACTGCGTGAATTCTGCTGAGATTTTTGAAATACCTATAGGTAATTTGTAGGGTTAAACATGATTTTTTTTGAAATTCGATACACTAGCAGAAACCTCTGCATCAGTAGGCCTCAACATACACAAGTGAAAAACGAAGAAACCCAAATGCAACACAGAGAACACCAACCCAATCACACGTGATGGAAAAGCACTGGAAGATGTAGAATCTTTCACGTATCCGAACAGCATCATCGATGAACAAGGAGGATCAGATGCAGACGCAAAGGTGAGGATTGACAAAACAAGGATCGCATTCCTACAATTGAAGAACATGCAACTCAAAACAACTTCCAACCAACCAATAACAAACTCACAATCTTCAATACGAACGTCAAGGTAGTTCTACTGTATTTATAAATGGCCGTCTTCGCAAGATACTCAACATCTATTGGTCGGATATCATCAGCAACAGCTTATTATCGGAGAGAGTAAACCAGCTTCCGATTGAAGAGGAAACTAGGGAAATACGATGGAAATGGATAGGACATACACTGTGAAAATCACCGAACCGCATCACGAAGCAAGCACTAGTTTGGAATCCTGAAGAGAAGCGGAAAAGAGAAAGGCCAAATAACACATTACGTCGGGAAATAGAAGCAGATATGAAAGGATGAATAACAACTGGAAGGAGCTGGAAAGGATTGCCCAGGACAGGGTTGGCCTATGATTCTCCACGAGGAGTAACAGGCGTAAGTTAGTAAGTAACGTAATATCTAGTTACGTATTTTGAGTATAACTCTGAAACAGTTCAGGGACATACGAGGAGAATTCATCTGTAGTCAAAATTAATTCAACATTACTAATCACATAATATTATAATGTAAACAAGCAACGTTAATGTCACAACAAGTAATACAATAGATCAATCAGAAACTAGCCTGAATAATAGATACAAATAACTGACCAAGAAATAGTTTACATTTCTAAGGAATTAAACATACATCATTAGACGTTTGTGTAACCATGATCAAAATCAAATACTACATATTACAACATAGATAAATAAAACTGACCTTCAATTTTCATCCTCTCAAGTATATACTTTAAAAAGGAAGCTCCTAACATGTATTCAATTGTTTTTTGTGGAACCTTAAAGTACACAAAATGTTGTCAAACAATTTAATAATCCAATTCAATACAAATATTTTATCATTCAGAGGTGAAAATAAATTAGATCTAGGGAACCAACATAATGTGACAGTATTCAAAAAAAGAAAGAAAAGAGGCTTTCTCCCTCTCTAGTGAATGTAAGACTATTCTTCTTCTATTACTCAACAAATGATTATCTTAGAAGGATTTTGTGGATTGTATAATAATTTCAATGGTTGAGATCATGAGTCAATCGAAGCTAGATCACCATGGAAAACCTGAGAGCACTAGACGGCCGTTTCATTCTAGTATGTGACTGCTAAGCAGTGCGCATCCATGATTCCGCTCCCTGCGAGATTCTAACACAGGATCTATCAGTCTCGCGCGCAAGCGCTTAACCATTAGACCACTGATTATCTATTTGTGAAACTGTGTTAGTATTTGCTTGATTTAAATTGAATATTTTGGTCATTTACCATTAAATGTTCTTGAACAGAGAGTATAACATATTTCTAAAATGGTTGATCCTATAGTTGTAAGGTGATTTTTATGATGGATTGACTTCTTACTTTAGTTGTTTTGTGGTCGTTCGGAGCTTTTCAACAATGAGTACTTATAAACTTGTTACAAATTCAGTAATCTAAACAGAATGCACTCATATTGGGTAGACTTGTAATCATAATACTGAAAAAATATAGTATCAAAATAGTGTGAAACAGTTGTTTATTAACTTTTAATTATCATCATCCAGAAGTATAAATTTCAGTTTAATCAATCATAGAATCAAAATGTTCAAGTAACATCTACTCACTAAAATTTTTGATTGAGATCATGAACTGATTGATGTTAGACCATCGTTGGAAGCCTGGAAGCACTAGAAGTCCATTTCGTCCTATTGTGGGACTCCTCAGCATTGCGCATCCACGATCTCGTTCGTGGGATTCGAATCCAGGGCCTTCAGTCTCACTCGCAAACGCTTAATATCCTGAACCACTGAGCTGGCATCCAATGATGTTAATTTTTAACTTCAACCGATCCATGACATTGAGCGACCACCTTCCATTGTAGTGAGGTAGATACCTGTCCCTACCCGACACGAATTAACTGCACTGGTCACGGCTTCTTACTAGAACTTCGAGAATTCCTTTCACGAAGCTGGTCATTAGTGAGCACATGGTATTTATCACTCACTAAATGTAGAAAACTTAGATGTCACCAGAGAACTTCAGTAACTCCTAAAATGACTATTAAAATTAAGGCCAAGTTTTAGTCAGTTAGTATACAAGTAACTCAAAACTATCAAAGTTGGAACCTGGATATTGAGTTAACAGTTAAAGTAACATTTATGATTAGTGTTAATTGATTAAATAATCATAGAAGAACACTTTGTAGTCATATTGATAAAAACACTTATGTCGACAAGAATCGTCTGCATACTTCATTCTAAATCTTATCAACATGCATAAGTTACCTTAAATTACTTATAAATTGTTTTGAAATATTACAACCGCATTTTAATACAAGTTGTTTTTCTCGTTCTTTTGTTTTCTCCATCTTTTCGCTTTTATTTAGTTCTTGATACTCACTTACCTACTTACGCCTGTTACTCCTCGTGGAGGAGCATAGGCCACTCACCAGCACTCTCTACATCCAACCCTGTCCTGGGCAATCCTTCACAGCTCTTTCCAGTTATTATTCATCCTTTCATATCTGCTTCTATTTCCCGACGTAATGTGTTATTTGGCCTTCCTCATTTCCGTTTCTCTTCAGGATTCCAAGTTAGTGCTTGCCTCGTGATGCAGTCTGATGATTTCCGTAATGCATGTCCTATCCACTTCCAGAGTCTTTTAATAATTTCCTCTTCAATTGGAATCTGGTTTGTTCACTCCCACAGAAGGCTGTTGCTGATGATATCCGACCAACGTATATTGATTAGTTTGCATAGACAGCCATTTATAAATACTTGCACCTTTTTGACGATGGTTGTTGTTCTTCAAGTTTCAGCTCCGTACAGTAGAACTGCCTTGACGTTCGTATTGAAGATTGTGAGTTTGATATTGGTGTGTTGACAGTTGTTTTGAGTTGCAAATATTCTTCAATTTTAGGAATGCGGCCCTTGATTCGCCAATCTTCACGTTTGAGTCTTCTTCGGTTTCTCCTGTTCATTGATGATGTTGATCGGATACGTGTGAGATTCTACATTTTCCAGTGCTTTTCCATCACATGTGATTAGGTTAGTGTTCCCCGTAATAGTTCTTAACAAGGTATATGATATTTGTTATCTTGCTTTTGAATTTCGCGCTTAAATATTCATAAACCGCCATCTTCAAAAGTGATTGGTTTATCAGTAAAATATACATTTATGAAAGAAATTTTATAAGCTATCTATTAATACTACTGATTTCAATAAAAGAACAACTCACTGACACTGTAGTGAATATTAATAAAATAATAGGATAACTATAGTTTATATAATATTTCCAAATTCTTATTAGTTCACTGATCAATTCATTGCCTGAAATTGTCAAATAACAATTGTATTTATTAATAAGGAAAGTAAAATACAAGTATGTGATAAAATGATATATAAGGTCGTAGATGTTATTCGAAGCATACTACTTCTTAATGAAAGCCTGGAAGCACTGGATGGCCATCTCTTCCTAGTATAAAACTCCTCAGTAGTGCCCACCCACAATCCTGAATGCGAGAATAAGTGCACACCCTTCGGTCTCGCGCAAACGCCCAACCTCCAAACTTTTGACTCGGCATTCAATAGTATTGGTGTTTAACGTCGAATAATCCACGACATCGCACGACCATCGTCTTCGATGGGTATCTGTCTCACATCCGACAAAGATCAGCTCCACTTATCACGGCTTCTTATTCGAACTCCAAAAATCTCCTCTCGAAGCTGTTCACTAGTAAGCACATTATAATTTTTTGTACGGTTTGTGGAGATTTTTGGACTTCATTTAAGCTATACTACTTGTATTCCATCAAATAATCCTATCAGTTATTGTATCGTGTACTTAACACCCCATAGACAGAGTAAATTCTACTTTCCTATATTGTAGTCACTTTACAATTTAGAATGTATGATCAGGTAGAAATAAGCTTCACTTCACAAAACTCATGACAGTACCGTGTGTTAACTTGATATATTTTCGATATTCCCATTTACAAGTAAGTTAACAGACTTTCACAACTATTTCAACCAAAACGTTTTCAATGTAACCAATGATTACTTGACCTACCATTTAACTTTTCCAACGGTCTGCGAAGAGTACGCATAGTGTTACGTAACACCTTTCCCTAGTGAAATTCAAACAATATTGTAAGATGAATTATTTAGTACAAACATTTAGCATAATAAAAGACTTCCCTAAGCAACTATGAATCTAGTTTAATGCACTATCGTCTAATCCAATATATAATCCATTTCTTGTCATCTGGATATATGATTGATAAGAAGTCGGTATTAACTAGATATCATCCTCTTAGAATGTTAATTCACGTGGTACTGTTTTACTTGAATCTTCCCATTGATGTTTTAGGACTGAAATTGATCTGTCTCTTATTGGCATATGTGCATACTGTGCGTATGCCTCGATATATTCAAGTAAAACAATACCAAGTGAATTAAACTTCACCCCATTACACAAGCAAGTGGCTATCAGGACTCAGTAGCTAAGTGGATAACGCGATGGCGTTTGAAGCGAACGGTACTGAGTTCGAGTCCTAGAGTGAACATCAACTCTGAGATGCAGGTACACCCAGCTGACGAGTCCCAAACAGGACGAAACGCGCGTCCTGGATTCCACTGCTAGCCACTATCCATCTTTGCTCTTAGAATGTTGTTCGATAAAGCTGAAATTTCTGAACTTCTAAATTAGTTCCAGCCACTACCTAGTAGATGAGCGAGGAGAGTGTAGATACATCACCTGTCCGTGCTCTCATATCTACTCATGATCAAGTGGACCTCAGAACATAACGATAGATCGAACCAATCATTCAAAAATTTATCGTTTCTTAATTTTACTTTGATGTAATATGCTTATAAAATGTTGTATGTTCGCTTTATTTTATGAAACTTCATAGTCATAGATCATGCTATGTCTTCCGATAATTGTTATAGCCCAAGGCCGCCAATCAGAAGAAGCGAATTATCGATCGGACCAAGGACGCGTAAAACACGGACGAGCAGCCTAGAGTTCTGATTAGTCCTGCTTTCCGCCTAGCCCAGCCAGTTAAGTCCAGAACACAAGTCTCAGCCTCTGCAATATGAATCCTTATACTTCAAACATACTGAGTTTATATAGCAATCAAACGGGCAACATTTGTACAAGATTTGGCCAAATGTGGCTGTGAATGTGGGAGACAGTGACTAATAGACAGGGCATAATTCAAGAATGGTAAAACGTATAATAGTGGTTCATAGGTCAAAATAAAGCTTGTAATAAGAGGAATATGAATATGAATAGTTTAGTTACTTGACAATTACACGATAAAAATATACTTTAAGTATTGGTCCATAAAAGGATCCCAAAGTTAACATTCATTATGTTTATCGAGACCTAACAATAATTCCATGATATTAGTACCTTGGAATTATTATTCATTCATGTTTTTTCACCTCATTCTATCACTAGTTTCTTTATTCACTTATTTAATCATATTGCAGTAAACGAGAACACAAGTGGGGACAACCTAATGCATTTTCATACAACATTACAGAATATCTGAGAACCATACAGTAAATTCTTCATTTGTAAAATATCCATAAATTATCTCAAACTTTGTCGTTCCTTCGTTTTCAAAACAATCACTCTCTATTATCGTTCTCTTCTCTTTGATTTTTTTAATCCTTTACTTCCAGGCATTTCACTTTCGATTGGTGGTGCATACTACTTATCTTTGTCAACATCAGTAGTACACACCACAATATCAATAGCTAAAGTAATAAATATTTACAGTAAAATGTAATGGTCGCTAGCAATGGAATACATAAAGCGCGTTTCATTCTAGTTGAGATACATCAAATAGATACATCTCAGTGATTATCTTCACACTGAGACCTGAACACAGTGCTAAGAATTCAGTACTCACTACCTCAGAAAACAATGCGTTGTCGTTTAAAACTAAAATCATTGAACTGGAGTCTCAGTGTGAAAAGTGATATCCAGACAAATCTGTCTGACGTGTCCTAGTCAGCCAATAAACTTGTGATTAAATGACATTATCACAGCAGTTCTTTCAAGACGTACATGTACACACAGAGACTAATCATTTATGGATATTTAACATTGACAATGGAAGAATACAAAACCTTATAAATATTAGTTTGAACACTTGCCATGACATAAAATGATTATCTGAGTATAATTTATTAAAAAAAAAACATTAGATAGCTAATAAGGCCAGTGTAGTCTTTTTCATCATAAGCAAATTCTTACTGTCTTGTAAATCTCAAAGCTGTTTAGTACTCCATTCATTTCTTAGTTGAAGAACTATGGGTGGTACTTATATTTCAATGCACATACAGTAACCGAAGTCGTTGGTTTGCATAGTAACATCTAAATTAAAAATTACATATTTAAAGAATAAATGATCCTAACTGCTGTATATTGAATGGACAATGAACTCAACTAAGACTTCCGAATAACCTTTCATTTTCTAATTGGTTATGTAATGAGGGAACAGTGCTTCTGAAACTTTACTAATCACTATGGACAAACTAAGTTATACTACAAATGAACTAAGATTTTAAAATTTCAGTTGCGAAAATCAAGGTTGATGAATTTAAGGTAATAAACAGCTTGCGTATTTATGTCTTCATGTCTAATGATGTTTGTATACATATCTAAGAGGTTTTATCACGGGCATTAATCATTTGTTCAACTTACATCACAATATTCAATAATAGTAGCTGTTTCAATTCCAGAGTTTACCAGTTGTCTAAATGAAAACAACAATCAATATTCATCAATTCTCATGGAATCATCAATATAATTTAAAACAGATAAAGATTTAATAGTTAAATTCCTGAGTCCATTAATGCTAGACCACCACGGAAAACCTGAAATCACCGAACGTTCGATTCGCTCTAGGGTGGGACTCCTCATCAGTGCGCATCCACGATCCCGCATGCGAACGCTTAAACTCTAGACCACTGAGCCGACATTCAATGGTGGTAATGTCTAACTTCAACCAATCCACGATATTACGCTACCGTCTACGATTGTCTTCAGTGAGTAATTGCCTCACAACAGACACAACTGATCTCCACTGGTCGTATACGAGAACGAAACGACTGTCCAGTGTTCCCAGGTTTTCCATGGTGGTCTAGCTTTAATCGACTCATGAATTCAACTATTAAAAATTACTGCAATCTTCACAAACCCACATTCAAATAAAAAGTTGTTTGTAATGATCAATATTAACACTCGCTTGATTGTAACAAACATTAACGATATAGATTAAATGAAGTTTCCAATGAGCTATAAGATTTGAAATCTTAATTTTACTTCAGTAGTTATGTGTATGTGATTGATTTCACTTGGAAACTAGGGACTACTAAACAACTGTCTTGTCCTAGTATAATCTTCATTAGCAATATACAGCCACAAACCATCAAAGGATCGAACCCGGGACTTGTTAAAAATCTGGTTTATGATCAAATAAGACATATTTTTATTTTATTCTTTTCGTGTAATCAACACGAAACAGTTGACAAAGATTGCAAACATTTTGAAGGTATATATATGTTTTTCATATTAAATAAGATAAAGTTATGATTCCTAGAGCAGTCATGTAAAGAAACGAAAACAGATCTTATTGTTACTATCCAATGATAATAGAACTAAATGCAATGAACTACTAGCTCTACAATAATGACTTGCTATCATTGTTGAGCTATTGTATATTGTTCAAAATTATAAATGATCAACAATTGAACGTACCTCATATTTCTGACGGCTTCACTGATATCTAGATTTGGTTTACAAAGAATGGTATTTATTATAGCATTTTGAACACTAAAGAAAATTAAAACAAGAAAGAGAAGTAATATTCAAATTAGATAGAAATATGTGGTGTATATGCTTACATTTCATTGAACATGTTATAATGTTGATTAGAATCATTCAAAGCCTATAAAGATCCTATTTCTATACAATAAGTTAGATATATGTTAGTGAGCTATGTTCAGTAAGTAGATTGGTTTGTTAATAAAGATTACTCTACATTATTTTAGTGTCCACATGAAGGACTTAAAATCTTGAGAAAACTGATATCTGTATCCCTCAGCTCAACGATCTGATAGGCTTTAATTGAACTATTATTGATGAACGCCAACTAACACGAAACCTAGGTACTAGGTTTCATGTAAAGTATCAAACAAGCATGCGAGAGTTGTGCCGAAAGGCAAGCAGGCAAGCGAGAGAGCGAGTGAGTCAGCGAATATGAGTAGGAGTAAGCGAGTACAATTAAAGCGAGAGAGAGCAGTGAACATAAATAACATGGACATATATATAAATAATGAAATGAATGAATCATCGAATCAACTAAGCGGTTAGTATTAAGGCTAGCAGCGTGAATAAATGCGTAGGCAGTAAGCAATGCTCAAGCATACATCTTCATACATTCGCAACAATAATAAAGATACAATGATATAGTTGTTGTTGTACGGATGACTTAGTTCGTTATTAAGTTAACAAAATGACTTAACCGAATTAAATGTGAACAAACTCGACTGCACCTGAGTTGCTATACTGTACGAAATGAAATGATTATTATGGATCTTAGATGAGTGCTTCTATATAGTCCTAAATATCAATGATGAGTTAGGCCCTTCAGAATAAGTGAATTCGAATAATTGTAATTAAAGTTTTTAACTACTTATAAGTAATATAAAATAAAGCAACTAACATTACTAGTCATTACATCTTACATTAACCAAGATTCACTTTGAGACCAATCAAATATTCCAGAATTAAAATTAACACCTAATCTATCATCAAGGTTAGCTCTATGATATTCAGTTTCATTTGAATGGTGCCATTTTTCATTATCATTACTGCCACATTCAAAAGACAGTAAATCATTTGTTGACCAGTATTGATTGTATACAGTTGATTCATTAGATTTCTCCTCTGGAGGATCTTTATTTATTGTAGATTGATTCAATGAATTATTTCCTGATCGTGAATTAAACCGGACAATTTTGTGATTGTAAGCATGAGATCTTATCTATTAATGAAAGGTTAGAAGAAGAAGTATGGATAAATATCGTACATATACATGAAATATTTAAGAAGACAATTTTTCTTATTAGACCTATTTTCATATTCCATTTTCTCCCCTGATGGTTGATGGTTAAAACCTCTGGGAGGGAGTTCATTTATTCGGGTGTTTTACTTTTATTAGTAAATGATAGTTCTAACAAGTGAAAACGTCCTCAGAAACTTGTTTCCAACTCATACTTAATCCGTCTAAATGTCAAGCTGTTAACTTGCGAATGAGACATGAACGACATCTAAACACAATTTGGGGATCCCATAATGCTTGTACCATGAGAGACTCTTTGATAAACACAGTGTCAAAGGTCGGTTATCTTAGTGTTACTTTTTCCTCTGACCTCTCTTGGTCTTCTCATGTTTCATTGTTATCGAAGAAAGTTTTCCCTCTGACTCCTACATTTTACCAATTCTCGCATATTACCTATTATTGTTTACTGTTCTCCATTATTCTTTCACGGGCTTTTGAGAAAAGACTGTTGTATTGTGAAGAGTGCTGAAGGAAGATAACAGGCTGCGTGGTCAGACTTTCGAAGTCATCATTAATATAGTTGTGCATAGACATCTAAAGTCTTGCAAACTCCTGGCAGGTGTTATCTTATCAGATACCAACCACCCCCTTCATTCATATCTTTCTCCTTCTATATTTTCTGGTAGAACGCGACGTAATTACATTAAAATTCATGAACGCAAGCAAAAGCATAAAAGTTCTATAATACCTTGCTTAGCAAATATACTCTGTGACAAGCAGGTTGTTAGAGTCAACCTAGTCAATAACCTGTATTCTTAAACATGTTTTTAATTTGGAAAGTTGTATAGTTCCAGATCCTTTTCACCTTTTTCCTCTATTTTTTGTTGTTTTGTTTTTGTAAAATAAACTTGTTGAAATACGTTGTGCTGAGAATTCTATATATATAATATTGAATAAAGTCATTAATTATAATAATACTATCCCATTATCTTTCATTGTAATCCAATAGGTTACTTTCTTTCCTAGTTGGCTGTTTTTGTTACATACTCTCAGGATTATAGTAATGATAGTGTACACGGATTTGCCAACTATAGTATTATCTCACTGAAATTCCAAATGTTTCCTGAATACTTTTCGTTTTTCTCTCTCTTTCTTTCAACTACTTGAGGGAATGATTATTGGTAAAGTGTTTTGGGATGAATTTTTGAGCTGTTCACTAGTTTCAGAAGATATCTTCTAATTATTCGAAATTTAAAATAATCGTAAGTGATCTCAAAATGGAACAGAATCTACCTGTGTTAATTTTATGATTTTCTAATAAGCATCAAAGAAGATGAAACATTAATATAGGATATCATAGTAACTACCTTCAGACCTCTAACATCTCAGCACAGTGAACATGATGCTGAACCATTCGCAGCAATAGACATATTGCAACACGATCAATTTAACATGAATAGTACAAAAAGACAAGACCAACATAAAGTCATTTTATGATTGAGATTATGGATTGATAAATATAGGAACACCATTGAAATCCCGCATATAGGATCGTGAATGCGCACTGCTGAAGAGTCCCACAATAGGACGAAATGACCGTCCAGTGCTTCTAGGTTTCCAACGGCAGTCTAACATCAATTGGTTCATGATCTCAATCATAAACAATATCAAATAAATTAACAAGAAATTTACTAAACACTCACTTCTTTAAAACGTTTTCTATGATCAATAACAATTTCCACCATGACAATAAGTAAATAACTTGATATTTATTGTCTTGATTATTTTGCTAATTATAAAACATTTTCAAATCGTTAACATGAAGGTTTATACAATCTATGAATAGTTCAATTGTTTTCAATGATTCCATTCATAATTAAACAATGAAATCAATTCGATTAAAGTACATTAAACAAAACTTTGTTCTATTAGTGAATATGATCAAACTTTATAACTATTCATTGTTTCTTTACTTATCATATAAACAGATTGACTTAATGCTTATGTAATGAATAAAAGTCATTATTCTTTTGTTTTTTTTCTAATATAAATCATTTGAAGAGAATATTTATGATGAAACTAAATAGTTTCAAGTATACGTTCTTCATTGTGTTAATCCAACTGTCATTACAAATGGATATGATTGATTCAAAGACAATAGTGATTGTTATATCCTAATGAAGATTAAATTATGAGTAACTTCTGAGAACTATTAATGGATTAATATTATCTACATATTCTTATTTGTATAACTATTCAGTAATTAGATTGTGGATATTTATAGTCATCTTATTATAAGCTTCATTCTGACCTATAGATTATTGTTGTACGATTTATTGTTCTTAAGTTATACTCAGTTATTTGATTACCGCCTCCTATGTTCACAGCCACTCTTTTTGTCTTGATCTTGTACAAATGTTATTTGCTATTTTATGGTATGATGTGGTCTGTTTGTTCTCTATATAAACCCAATATATTTGAAATACATGATTGGTGTTCTGGACTCAACATGCAGGATTGGACAAGAAAAAGAACCGATAAGGATTGTGGACTACTCGTACGGAATCGTGCGTCATTGGTCTGGTCGGTTATATATCATTAGGCACAAGATCACAAGTTATAACAGTTAAGTTCTTATTAAAGTGCTTATAACCTTAATATTTTAAAATCAACGTTATTACAGATATTGACATACTTATAAACACGAAGATGGTTAGAGATGAATATGTGTATCATGATTTAGCGAAGATCCCAATAAACTTAATAAGGTCATAAAAATTTTGTTTCGGATAAGTAAAGTTTGGAAGGGGAACTTCCAAAACATTGAACTAGTAATTAGAACTTATAGAGTTAACAAACATTTGGTGATTGTGTGGTGAAGTAACTAAAAAAAGATTAATGGTAATAAAGAAATATATGAAATGAAATCAGTCAGTTATGAATTAAAGAAAAAACTGGAATACGTTCATATCCATTTTCGGATAGGTTTAAGGAGCACCTTTATTTGTCCCTTATTTCCCAATCCAGGATATTACGTCTTCCGATGGCCTTATGCTTCATGAAGAACTGTTCCTAATACAAAAACTGAGTATATGGCGTTTTTCGTCAGTCGACGGAGTTCCGTAGTTTTGTGTGCCGCCTCCACGAAATTGATATTGTTTTGTTCACGAAGATGAGCATTTGATTGGAACAAGCCTGATCATTTTCGCCTCTTCAGTAATAACAGATCTCGTATATATCAATGAAATCTTTCAACTGATGGATAATGTTACATTCTAGCACATCCATGACTCTACTAAAAACCAAACCTAGGACTATCGGTCTCGAGCGCGAACGCTTAACCTCTAGACTACCGAGCTGAAACATCTTGTATTAACTGAGGTGAATAAGTCTCACATTTGACACAGCTGAACTCTTCTAATCATGGCTTTTCACTAGAAGCCTTGGAATCAGATCTACGAGTTAGTCACCAGTGAACGTAGGATTATTATTATCATTATTATATGGGCTTTGCTCGTAGAAATGTTTAACGCTGATTATTCCTGACTACTTATGGAATCGATATCATTAACAACAGGTTTCAAACTGAGCACATTATCACTAAGTCTTCTAAATCCTTAATAAATGTTTACAACTTTTTATTTATCATGATTACCGCCTAGTGACAGACAAATCGTTATATTATTTATTAACCTACTTAAATCAACAGATAGCTTTTACCTTTGAATACCTATATAAGTGAGTTTATCGGCCACTTAGTGATTTATGATGAAAGAACTGTTGTTAAATCTAAAAATAATTCTATCTTTTTTATAAAATAAAATTCAGTCGAATGACAACATTTCATCAGGTGGTACAAAATTTTTTATTTAATCAAAATGCTTAAAGTAATCATACTACTGATTAATAATAAGTAGAAAAATGAATAACTAAAAATAATTGGCATCATAAATCCATGTAAAATCGTAATATAGTTAAACTGATTTAAATCGTGACGTAATTCAATCGAATGACATCAAAACTATTAACTTAGATTAAGAACTGTTCATCATACAATTGTATTTTTGACAACAAACTATAGTCATATATGAGATGAATGATATCATTATCAGTAAATTCACATAAGATTCTACAGTTAAGAGTTTTTAGCGGCCTTTATATATGACTCCATTTTGATCGTTTCTGATTACTGTTGAGATATACATATCGCAAATCCACGTATATACTCATCAACTTAATCCGCGTTAGTGAATAGCGGAATTAAATGAGTTAATTACGAAAATGAATTTTGAATATGTATATTTCATGCACTCATTATTGATTTGAACAGGCATGGAAGTAGACAAAAACGAATAGGGGAGAGCGAAGTAGATTGGAGAAGACAAGTGACCCAACTCAATTGAATCAAGAGTAAATCGATATTTATAGCCAGACGAAAATAAGTTACAGACATGTGATGAATAGGATAAGAAGTGCACATACTTACATACTTATATAAAAACAGTCAAGGTTGATAAACGAATAATTAATAAGATCAAAATATGACACAAGAAGAATGGGTAAATTGGCCTATACAGTAGCTAGAATAAGTTGTGTAAGTTTAACATAGTTAAATGACATTACAAGTTCAAATCGCTAGTCAAAAGCAATATTCATATTTGAAAGGAATACATCTTTATAAATCCTAAATATGAATTAAGAATTATAGGTGATTTAAGTCTGTGATCGGTTTTAGACGATTAAATGAATAATATGCAATGATTACTTTGAAAATGAGCTACTTATTAAAATAAGACGACCAGATTACTAATTCATACTCATAAATACATGTATTATATAATTAATGGGACAGTTTTAATGTTATACATATGAGATTGGTTTATTCATGAGATTAATAAATGGTATGAAGTCGTATGAATTGAGTATGGAGTGAATTTCATGCTAAAACATATTGGATTGAATTATTTTATTATGCATATTCTGGAAAAACTTTACAGTACCGATGACCTTCAGTGGTATATCAGCCAATCGAAAAACAGTAATTAATTATAAAATAATTTCGCGCGCGAGCACTTAACCACTAGACCATTGAGCCGGAATCCAACGGTGTTAATGTCTAAGTTCAACTAATCCACGAAATTGAACGACACATCCATCACTGTCCTCGATGAGTTACTACTCACAACAGACCTGGTTGAACTCCACTGGTCACTAGTGACTGGCTTCAAGAGGTATATCCTGGAGTTCTAGTGAGAAGTAGTGACCAGTGGAGTTCAACCAGGTCTGTTGTGAGATAGTAAATCACTGAAGACAATGGTGGATGTGTCGCTTAATTTCGTGGATTAGTTGAAGTTAGATAAAATAATTTATTGTAAAATATAATAAAATTATAATGGATAGAAAGTTTTGATATTAAATAGTGTTGGATTATTTATTTATAAGGATTAGGGCAAGGAATTAGGACTTGCTTACTTACTTACGCCTGTTATCCATTCGTCGAAAAGCATAGGCCGCCCATCAGCCTTTTCCATCCAAACCTGTCCTGAGTAATCCTTGCCGGTTGTTTCTAGTTGTTATTCATCCTTTTGATATCTGCTTCCAATTCCTGACGTAGTGTGTTCTTTAGCCTTCCTCTTTTCTGTTTCCATTCAGGATTCCAAGTTAGTGCTTGCTTCGTGATGTAGTTTGGTAATTTCTGTAATGTATATACTATCCAATTTCAACGTCTTTTCCCAATTCCTCTTCAGCTGAAAGCTGGTGTACAATTATGGTCAAGAGTTAGGACTAAGAATTGAGGTTTGAGTGAGAGAGTACTTTTCAGCCATAATGATAAAGAATTATGCAGTTAGTTATTAAAACCTAAATGTTCAAAAGTTTGAAGTTGCTATGAAAAATCAGCAAAACATGTTAAAATATTATGTATCGGAGCATTTTAGAGAGCATACAAAATGCTGATTTTGACCAATTACATTAAATTGAAAATTAACTTTTCCGATACAATCTGCGTCAAAAACAGTTGTTTATTGCAATTTATTTTCTACACTATATCACGTTCACTGTTTGGTTGCACAACATAAATATACTTCAAAGCTAAATATAAGTCATTCTTACTTAGGTTTTAATAAGTTACAAGTTATCTGTCATTGTGTTATGAATTTTAACTCTGATCAACATGCCTATCACTTCGTTGTTCGTAAGACCAGACCAGATAGTAAAATAAGAAATTGATACTGATACTTCTGGATTCTTAGAATGGGGATTTATAGAGATTGATAGTATTTCTAACAATTGAATGAACAAGCCGATCTATGCTAGACAACTAATGAAAACATGGAAGCACTGGAGGGCCGTTTAGTCCCGGCACAGGACTCCTCAGCAGCACACCCCCAACCCGTACACGAGACTCGAACCCAGGACGTCCGGTCATATGAGCGAAGGCCCAACCTTTGAACCACCGCTTCTTCACGCCAATTCAGAATGATTATTCTTATATGTTGTTTTAAAATAAATTATTTATCTTGATCCTGTAACGTAAAACAAAATTTCATAAGAAAACAAAAGCATTACTATCCAAATTACGCTACTTTAGTTAGTTATAAATGTAATTTAAAAAGTCATATATTAAAAAAGGAAAAAGTCCTAATTTATATGAAAAAGACCACTTTATGTATCCTAATATTCAATAACTTTTTGTTATAACGCTCGGTTTTACTTCGTCTACACGTATGGGACGTTAATTTATCTT